TTCCTGATTAAGCCAAATTTATCATAGAGTCTTAGCATATTAGAGTGAACAATGAACTTGTAAAGGGTGCCTAATCAACCAACTTCTCTGATTAGGAACGGACTTGCCAAAGTCCCGAGCCAGATAATGGCAAATCTGGAATGAGTCCTTTAATTATTGAGTTTTAGTCCAAGCTTCTTTCTGTCTCCTTCTACTACACAGTGTTTGTTTCTCCCCACCTTCATTGAATCTAGAGAGTAAACAACCAGTAGTTATGAATGAAATATATAACTATATTTGTGTTCTGTCTTGTGTTATTAGGGGGCAGATTTTTTTTTTAAAAAGGCTTCCTAATTGTCAGAAGGTTGGAGGTAAAATCAACGAACAATAATTACTATGGTTCTAAAAGGCGGTGTATTCCTATGACTGTTGCCCAAATTAAAAAAAAAGTTTGAAATCCTTGTTGGCTCGTAGAAAATGGAAAGACAGGAGGTGAAGTTTGGAAACCAACTTGAGTGTCTTAAGAGAAAGGGAGGTACTGTGAAAGGGACAATCAAAACAGACTGGGAGGACTTCGTAGTGGTGGAAAAGGCTAGTCCTTGTGGAATTAAAACAGACACTCAAAGAACATAATTCAGGAAAGGTGATCTGGATTGCAGTCTTGTCAGGCCAGCCATGAAGTACCCTGTCTGATGCAGTCCATGTGCATGATTTTATACTGACTTGGCATAGACTAAAGAGAGAGTGGTCAAACAGCATAGTAAAGATGTTAAGGCACATGCCTCCACTATATTAGTAAATGTGGTGGATTTCAATGTGGCCATTGACATATAGGTCTTTTTGAGCATGGTTTTGACAGCCTGGTTCTGTTCCCAGAGAAAGATGGCTCAGTGACAACAGACCTGGGAGCTATTTCTGTGGTCTGCCTCAGTCACTATCATTTTGGACTATCCTCTTACCTGGTCTTCCCCTTGAACAAAAATAATCTTACATAAGGTTTATTGCATGTTGACTCTGATTCTTGTCTTCTTCCAAGTTACTGTCACGATTCAATGAGAATAACTTAAGAACTACCTTTCTGTACTCAAAGTCACTGGCCTGCTTACAAAAGGCACCAGGTTTCAGCTATGACTGGATTATGTTCTCTTCTAATTGAATATCACTCATAACAACATATCTTATATGTATCTTGAATATCATTATGATTGCAGACATTATACTTGTCCCATTTTGCAGGCAAGAGAGTTGAGCTGGTAGTCTTCAGATTTTTAATGTAAAATTTCCATCATAAAGAACCAGCCACTTTGTATATTTAAATACATAGAGCTGTTTTCCCAGACAGAAGGATGTTTGGCCACATTTCAATTTGGATACTGTTGTTTTGGTCATGTCTCATTTGCTTGTGAATACAGGAATACTGGGCTCTCTAAACTACCAGTGGCAGGTTGAATTGAGAAAACAACTAGAGATTGGTATATTTTAAACTAACACGGCTCCAAAATGGAAGGCAAAATTATTAGGCTTGGTAATGTGTACTTTAGAAACCAGCTTGTTGAACTACTGAATATCATAGCCCAAGATCAAATGAGTCTTTGGGAAAATCAAGAGCAGAAACAAGGGATCTTGATTACTACAGAAGAGCTCCTACATTTTTATTCTATTTTGCTTTTCTTAAGGTCTAGATTTAGGTCTTAATATCAAAGTGATTTGCTTTAATTTTCTTTTTGAAACCTTAAGCAGCAGCCTTAATACTGTAAACACCAAAGGTAGATGCCGTAGTTTGAGATTCCTAATTAAGATGAATCCCCTCTGAAGTCATGCCGTAGTTTGAGATTCCTAATTAAGATGAATCCCCTCTGAAGTCATTTTTCTCAGTGGTATAGACACTTCTATGTGACCCAAACTCCAGTGACATAGGCCCATGCTCACGCAATCTACCCTAATTAAACTCAGCAGGTCACAAAAAATGGCATGAAAGTAAGAGTGCTCATAGCTTGGGAAAGGGAGGCTCAACAGGATAGGTAGGGTAGCAAGAGAGAGCAATGGGAGGAATCTAATAAAAATACATTGTATACATGTATGAAATCGTTGCAGAGGAAGGATGAATTCCTCTTTAGAATTTCCAAATCTCACGTACTACCACCTTCCTGTTATTACAGTGATACATGTTTTGAATTCACTTTCATCCTTTCCCTACTCACTTGCCATTTTTAGATAACTGCTGACTTTTGAAGGCTAATCCCAACTTCTTGAACTTAGCCCAGTATCCCAGTCTCCTTTGTCTTCCCAGGCCTGTTGTTTTCCCAGGATGGGGCTTGCTGGGAGCTAATGGGTCTCATCTCAGCATGTCACCTGGGCCAGCTCTTAGAGAAAACAATAATAGCCAATGAGAAAAGCTCTATTAAGATGTGGATCTAAGCTAATATTGACAGTGCTATTGAGAGACTTCCTGTTTTCACAGCCTTTCAAAATACAAGCACTGGAGGCTTATGAGCCAGATGGAAAGAACCCTGACTGACAGACAGCCTTTGGGAAGGGCTTTTAAGGGGAAGAGGCCATAATATACAGAGTTCCTTCTAATCAGAAAGTAGTTCCTTATACTACAGATGTTGACTCTTATGCCATTGGGTATGTTCTCCATATATAAAGAAAAGAATAATAAAATTAGGAGAAATGCTTTCACATATGGTATATTTTCGGGAAGTTCTCATTTCAAGCAGATGGCCCACAAAATATTCCTCAAGATTGCAGAGTATACAGAAAGGAAGGGTTTGATTTGTTTTATCCACTGTTGTATCCTATAGCAATTCCTGGCACATAATGGATAATAAATAGAGACTGAATGATTCTTCGGGATTAAAGGACCTTTTTAAAGAATTCCATTTGAGGCCGGGCGGTGGTGGCACACACCTTTAATCCCAGCACTTGAGAGGCAGAGGCATGAGGATCTCTGTGAGTTTGAGGCTGGGCTGGTCCGACAGCCTCCAAAACAATACAGAGAAACCCTGTCTCGTAAACCCCCCCCAAAAAAGAATTCCATTTGAGAACCATCCCAAAGGGAGACTGTGTGTACATTTGTATAAGATAAAATTGTAAATTAATTTCTTCTAATCAGTATGTCTCTCTCTCTCTCTCTCTTCTCCTTCCCCCCACGTTCTTTGGTCACTTGCAATGACTGTCCACCTGTCTGATTGGTGCACCTGTAACATCTTCATGGATCACCATTGAATACTGCATCTCTGACTGTCTGGACATCCAGGTAAGGCAATGAGCTCTTTAAAACCCAGTGTGATCACTGGGAAAATATTAACAAGTAAAAGGGAAGTTTCCCTAGACATAAAAAATGATAATCTCAAGAGATAGTAGTTCCCTGATTGAAGTTAAATTTAACCCACCCATGATACAATTCAGTAAACCAACAGGAATATTTACATCACTTAAGGATTTCCATTAAGATAGTATAATAAAATTATGGTTTTGGAAACTACTGTATATTTTCTTTGGGATTTACTGGAACTAAAATATCAACACATGTTTTTTTTTTGTTTTCGTTGTTTCTTATTGCTGTTTTTCTTAGGGGTTTTTGTTTGTTTGTATTTTCATCCAAAGTTGTATTTTCTTTTGTTCATCAGACCAAGTGTGATACAGGATCTTCTAAGGTGTCTTCAGTGTATAAGGATTTTATGTCATGGGGCAGAATAGTGTACTCTAAATATCTTCTTTTTGTGGCTGGAGTAGAGTTTTGAATGTCAAGCTAATTTGTGGGGGTATCTTGTTTAAAAGATTTAGTGTGAGAACTCACCAGACATATCATGTTGGTTTCTCATAACACTTGTTCCCCAATAGTCTTAACAACTGAGAAGCAAGAAAGTGAGGTCTAACCACACCAAGGACTCATGATTTTTTTAAAAGTCATATACTGTTTCCCAAGCGATAATGCAAGCAAGGCTCTGCTATGGGCTATGCTATTAAAAGGTATTCTTAACACACTCCAGAAGTCTGCACATATTTTTATATAAAAATGAGACATTTCTCCCATAACACCTCATAGACCCTTATAACCTTTTTTATATACAATAAGTATATGAAATTGTAATGGGCCTTGTTATGGTGTAATTAAAATCAGGAAGTTAACTGAGTCTCAAACTGACCTGGGCACCTTCAGAGATGTTGTTCACATTAGAAGTTCACACACATGAGATTTCTCAGTGGTCAAGGAGCTTGTGATCAAGTCTAATGACTCCAGTTTAATGCCCTGAGCCTACAACTCTTACAAATTGTCCTCTGACCTCCACATACATACCATGTTGTGTGTGCGTGCACACACAAATGCAAAATATTAAAAGAAATTTACACTGTAGAGTTAATGTTATGTGGATCTTAAAACCAATGTTATAAGAAAGATCTAAGCAAGTTTTATAAATGAGGAGATATTATTTACTTACTTTAATGCATGTCTTCTGTTTGGGTGGCAATCACTACAGAGATTAATAATTTATCATTGTGTGTGTGTGTGTGTGTGCGCATGTGCACATGCATGCTTTAAATTCTCATCTCATTTAAGAGTATAAGCAAAGTCTAATCTCTTTTATCTGTGTTCATGCATTCCCAATGATGTGAAAAATCTCTCCTCAGTCACTTCAATGAGGTGTTTCCATTTCATTCATGCTACAGAGTTAGACTCAGTCTGGGATTGGGTTTCTTGGCTTTTGTCTTTGCTTAGTTTGACACTGCCCCTTGAGAAAGAGAAGGAAGCTAGTATGAGTAGTAGATCTATTATTCCCTGCCCACAGCAATCCAAAGGATTGGTTCTCAATGCTTCCCTGCTTCTTTCAGCCTTGTAATTTGGAATACCCCCATTTGCTGGAGATGAGCTAATGGGAAAGCTACCTAAGAACGATTTCCTTGCAGTTTGGGAAACTGTAAAAATATGATATCCAAGCAAAGTGGATATTTTTATTATTTTAACTCTTCTCTTGGCAAGCTCTTGCTATCGACTGGTTTTACTGTTCCTTTAACAGGTGGAGGATTTTTCAGATTCTAGATGCAACTAGGTAAGTAACAATGTATTTTTAGTTTAACTGAGCCCAAGAAAGGTACAAAATAAATAGACTCTGCAGTAGCCTGCCAGTTTAATTGCAACACAAAATAGTTCATAGACACTTGGCTTGTTTGGAGTAGAAGCATCACATAGACTCAGGTCTAATGGCATATCCCATTGGGAAGTGGGATGATGATTTAGCTTGCCCCATCACTCCCAAGAGTTAGCTGAAACTGAATGACACAAAAAAGTTTCCGAGTAAAAAGATGTCCTCCATCAACAAAGACTTTACAGTGCTCCAGGAACGCTTGCCTCTTCCTAGAATATATGGTACTTTACAGAACAGTCAGACCAACATTTCCTATGGCATTACATGCCTGTGGGGTTACATGCCTACAAAACAATTGGACCAACATGCCTATGAGGTTACAAGGTAAAGCAACCCCATAGGCAGTAGGCTTGGTCACATGAAACTTCATGGAGAACAAATCAAACCAAACACAAGAAAGTTCCTTTCTGTAGGGAAGGAGCAATGAAATGGTTCAGGAAAGTATCCACAGTTGCCATGGGCTGTATCATATTGTTATCAGTGCTGAAGAGTTTAATGGGAATGATAAGTGTCCCCTTCCCTCCTTCTTTAATTGCATACTCTATTCGCTTGGCATTTTTCTTCCAAAGTTGTGATGTTCACCAGTTTTGTATTTGGGTATTGTAGGTTTATTGGCTCTAGAAATATTTACCAGTGCCTCTGTTTTCTCTTCCTGTCTACCTAGACCTGTCCCTAAATAAATAAATCAGAGTGGAGAGGTGATAAGCTTGGCATTCCTCCACTAGGATAGGCTCCTGTGAAAGTTGACTAGATGGGTCCTCTGTAAGATGACTTTCAGGAGTTTGGCTTCCATTTTTCATCTTAGGATCCTGTAGACCTATTTGACAACTGAAAAGAAGAAACTCATCATTTGAAGCTCTAGTCAGTTTGTAATTCATTGAGATAAAAGATATAAGCAGACATCAACACTTCATCACACATTACTAAGGGAGGGTATTTTAAGGATCACATATTGGGTAAGTGTCCTCGTGGCAAGAATATTACATGTTGCTACTTCTAGAGCAGTTACTTTGAGCAAGTCCCATTTCCACTATGAGCTTTGATTTACTCATGTGTGAATAAATTTTGTAGAGAATTATTAGAATGATCAAGAGGATAGGGATTGTTTTATTTCTAATTGTTCTACAGGAGAAATTTTGCTAGTTTTTTTTCCTTTCTGCTTTAAAAGTTATATGGTATCACTATTCTGACTTTTATTTTTATTTATGGTGCTGCTTAGTTGGAGCAGAAGTTGTCAGAGTGACCTTATACACAGTCTTAGTGAGAAAGAAAAGAGGAGTGCAGGTGGTGAGATGGGAAAGAAACAGCTTTGGTAAATATTGATGGGGCCAATTTTGAATTCTGGTGGACTGCATATTCGAATGATGCATGAAAACTGTTTGCAGGGCTAGCATATTTTTCAGCCACTGGTAAAATCATAAAGCAACAATTTATTTGGTAATCCTCATTGTGCATTCAGTTTCATAAATGTACAAGATTATGATTATCTCTGCCTCATAATTAACAATTTGCCTAAGTACTTGCTATTATTTGGCTGTCTGAATGGATTTTGGTAATCCAGAGGAAGAAGGGAACAATCAGTGCAAACCACTACAAATGCCTAGTATTATTGCTACACACACGCACAATTAGCAGTGATACTAATTGCTTTAGACCAGAACCTCATTTGGTTTTCTATAGACAGCAAAACATTAATTGCTAGAGTCTTGTCACTCATTCACTCACACCCTGTCTGTCATTCTCTCTGTTAACCAATTGGATCTTCTAAGATCTTTGTTGGGTCACAGGTAAATTAGCTGGTTGGATTTCCGGCATATCCTTTGGTGTGGAGCTTCCAAGCTTCTATTTGAGCTAGCAATCAATATCTTGACCAGCCATGGGTTTATTTTTATACTGTTATAAGGACTGAAATGATGCTGACATGCCAACCAGTTCTGCTGCTGTACTTCATTCTACTCCCAATCTTCCATCTTTAACATTATTGCGATTACATCTCTATGCAAGAATTGTCTAAATTCAAGGTTAGAAGAGGCCTTTTAAGAGCATGCTGCCAAATTTCCCTCAGTTACCTGATGCCTTTGATTATTACTGATTTGAATATTAAAAACAACCACCTAATCAATGATGCCACACTTTAAAAAGAATTCAAACCATTGGGAACTATTGTAGCAAGTACATTTGAGTGTTAACAGGTTGTTTTGCAGTCACATAGACTTGAGGTTTGTTTTTTTTTTAAAGAACCCAAAATAGAATTATTCGGTATGTCCTCATAAGGTTTACCTCAATATAACCCCAAAGTTGATGGTGTATGTGCAAAGAGCCTGATAGATACTAAGAATTGCTTCACCAGGACCACCTCCCTTCTCTGCAAGCATAGCTATCTAATATGAATGTGGAGGTGTTCACTTCAGTGGCAACAGCAGGGAATTTCAGCTTCAAATAGGACTCAGGTCCCATCCTAGGACTACCATGCTGTAACTGTGTGACCTTGGGTAATTTATTTAACTTTTTTGCTTCTAGCATTCTCAAATGCAAAAAGGTAGCAACTTTTTAGAGCTACTAAGGGGAAGAAAGTAAAACCATGCACAGAAATACTATGCATTGATTCCCGCACATGGGAAAAGTCGATATCCAATAGTGGTTATTAACTTCGTTGTCTGGGATACCCAGTACCAATCTTATTCTTTACTGATGCTTAATCTTCTGGAACTTTGGGATCCTCACCTGTGTGTCTTGCATACATCTATGCATGGCTGATCTCGGACACAATCCAGAGAAACCACACTGGGAAGACCGCTTTTCCCAAAAGCTACCTGTGACCTCCATCTGTCAGAATTTGATGGTTGCTTCTTAGCTTCAACCACCTGGAAATCTGAAGATTCCTGCACCTTAGCATATCTTCTTTTTCTGAAAAATGTTCACTGTTTATCTTGGTGTAGTCATAATATTCATTAAGTTTGCCTTGTTGGGATCTCTGATCCACACAGACACACACACTAGTGCATGTGCATAACCATTCACTATGAACATACATTTGCTCCCTCTTCAACCCTTTAAATGTTGCAACTCCTGAGTTCCTGCCATTGATCTGCATCTTCTCTCTCGCTATGCTGGCTCCCTGGGTAATTTCATCTCTTCACGTAGTTTCACCTTTAACCCCTATACTAATGATTCTCAAACTGACATCACCAATCCTTAATTCACTCTGGAGCTCTGGGCTAACTCCAATTTCCAAATGCCTGCTGAGAATCTCCAGGACTGGATATCCTAGGAGGCTGGCAGTATAGTCTGGCTTTTGTCATCCCCTTAGAAAAGCAGATGGCAGTTTCAGAAGTATTAAGATTTAACAAAAAGGAGCAAGGGTGAGATATTAGCCTAAGCAAAAGTAAAGGAGGTCTAAGTTAGCAAATGAACACAAACCAGGCTTCCAGTGGAGAATAGTGGGCAAATTGAATCTCTGTCTTCATGAACTGGAGATGCCAACTGGGTCCCTAAAAGTTGTGTGCTTTCTATGGAAAAGGGAATAGCTTTCCTGATTTAAACTGAATTCATTTTTAAGGGGCTGGATGATTGGCATGTTTGGGTGGAATGTTAATTAAAATCATCTTTCTTGGGAAACAAATGGCTATTATTTCAGTGTTTTGTTATAAAAAGGCACATGTCAAAGGGAAGAATGTTCATCTGAGGATTTTGAGAGTACTTGTGTGCATAGACACACTCATAGGCTGGGTCAGAGGTGTCTGAGATATTGTTTGTGGACATCATTTTTTGTGAGGCCAGGTCTTAAACTGTAGCCCAGGCTGACCTGGAATACTCACTTCTGTAGCCCCAAGCCAATCTATAACTGGCAGCAATCATTATAGCTCAGTTTCATGAGTTCTGGGATTGTGAGCTACCATGACAAGCTGCAAATAATTCTTTCAAGAGGCATAAAGATTATTTTCATTCATTCTGTAAACATTTATGGAAAATGCCAGGATCTCTATGGAGAAATGAGACTGTGAATACCGTACCTATAAAGTCTCTGTCCTTGGATGCCTGATACATTTTACTTTAGTTATTTGCAGATACATTGAGACTGCAACTTGGCTGACAATCTTAATGACCAGAGGAACTTAAGGGAAATAAGACAGATCCAAAGTGGGGAAAGGATGTGCATAAATTCGAATTACAAATTGATTGCTTCCTTTAAATTTAGTAAATATTGAGTTGCTTTGGGTTTTTACATTCCAAGTGGGTTCATCAGTGTTTCAGGCCAGATGAACGATTGTGTCTAACCCTAAAATTAAATTAGAGCAAGGGGATAGACAAATCTTGGTTAATATGTGTGCTGTCATTAGGAGACCTGGCTATAAACAAACTCCTCTCGTGGAAACTATGGTCTCAGTGCTGCTATCATTGGTAGAGAACAATAGCTCTTTTCTGGAAGGGTGGCCCTATTCCACAGTCCCAAGGTACTTCCTATCTTATGTGGTACATGAAGGCCAGCTTAATTTCCAAATAATATGAGATCCTTACCCTCACAATTGTACATTATGCTTCCTTTTAAAGCTCTGCATGGTTATGGGTTTGCAGGTCTCAATTCTAAGTGTTTTTGACCTAGCTCTCCTTGTCAAAGTCTACTTTGTGGCCCTTTTCAGATCCCTAGGTGCGGACCCTAATTGAACTATTACAGCTTAGGGATGTTCTGACTATTCCACAACTCCTGCCTATAGCTCATTCCACCATGCTCTTTCTATTACATGCCATATAAAGTTGCTTAGAAACCCTGTATATAAATTTCTTGTGTTCTTATTTCCTTTTCCTTGAATGAATTAGAAACATTGATGAATTAAGGACAGTATCTTATTTTCACTGGATGTCAGGACAGTAAAAACCAATTCTTGAATTTATCCTTCAATATC